AGGTACCCCTGACCATTAGGTCCAGTCGTGGCCGACTCTGGGGTTGCGGCACTCATCTTGCTTTATTGGCTGAGGGAGCCGGCATACAGCTTCCGGGTCATGTGGCCAGCATGGCTAAGCCGCTTCTGGCGAACCAGAGCAGCACACGGAAACACCGTTTACCTCCCCGCCAGAGCAGTACCTATTTATCTACTTGCACTTTGATGTGCTTTGGAACTGCTACATTGGCAGGAACAGGGACCGAGCAACGGGAGCTCACCCCATCATGGGGATTCAAACCGCCAACCTTCTGATTGGCAAGTCCTAGGCTCTGTGGTTTAACCCACAGCACCACCTGCGCCCCCCACAAAATGTTTAGGGGTATTCATACCCCTGCGTCCCCCCCCCCCCAGAAAAAAGCACTGGATCCAGTTCACATTTAAAGGTGAATCTGCCCGATTCAAACTTTACAAAACAGTACATGAAGTGAAACACAGCCATCCCTCAAATCTCACACTGCTTCAGATTTTACAGCGCAGTTCTCCAGTCGAGTAATGTTTACAAAAATGCACATATGACTCTAACCAGCAGTCGTGCCTCCTGCCTCTGTAGTATATGGGCAGAAGGGGAAGGCTGCTGGTGGCTGTCAGGAGAGCAGCAAAGCTGGGAAAGGTGGATGCAGAGACACTCATTCCACACACGCAAACATATCCCAGAGCGGGGGGGGGGGTGGCTGCTCTACCAGAGACACCTATTTCTACAAAGCAGATTTCCAGGATGAATAAGTCTGGATCCTGTAACTATGAAAATAGCTGCTGCTGCTGGTGGTGGTGGTTGTTTTTTAAAAAAGAAGAAGGAAAAAGAAAAGTCAGCTGAATAGTTAGAAACTTATCTTTAGAAATACAGAAATACAGTTATTTTAGTATTCAACATACGTTAACAATATTCATCAAATCCATATGTAGATATGATTCTATAAATAAATAAAGCAGCAAAATTTGTGCATGTGTGTGTTACTTTTTGGATCATTTATAAGCTCCTCACCTATGGGTCAAGTTGCTTTTTTCTCTTTTTTGGCTCCTAACCCACAGATCATTCTTTTGCTAATATTTTGGCTTTTCACCCATGGGTCACATTTTTGTTCATTTTTTCTGCTGCTGACCCCTAGGTCACTTTTTTCCCCTAATTTTCCTGATTACCCACATGGGGGACACATTTTTCAACTACTGATCGGTCATGTTTTTTCTCATTTTTTGGCCTATAATCCACTGGACACAGGTTTTTGGCTTATTTTCTGGCTCCTAATCTGCAGGTCATATTTTTGCTCATTTTCCAGCTCCTGGACTACAGGGCCCCTTTTTCATTCATTTTTCAACAGCCAACCTGCTCAGATCACTTTCATCCTCATTCTCTGTCTCTTAACTATTGTGCCATGTTTTTCCTTATTTTCAACTCTTGACTCATGGGTCACTTTTTTGCTCATTTTCCTTCTCCTTATGAGCAGATCACTGTTTTTGCTCCTCAGCCATGGGACACATTTTTTGGCTCCTCACCAGTGGGACTCATTTTCACTCACCACCGCTGGCTTCTAGCCACAGTGGATATGCTCCACCACTATGGTCAGAGACAGTTTTCTTATGAATACCTGTTGCTTGAAATCAGACTATGGGGGAGTGCTGTTCATTCACATCCTGCTTGTTAGCTTCCTGTAGGCATCTGGTTGCCCACTGTGACAACAGGATGCTGTACTAGAAGAGACATTGGACTTATCCATCAGGCTCTTCTTAGGTTAAAAGGTAAAGGTAAAGGTTAAGGGTCTTTCTTAGGTTAAGGGTCACAGGTGGCGCTGTGGTCTAAACCACTGAGCCTCTTGGGCTTGCCAATGGAAGGTTGGCGGTTCAAATCCGCTCAACAGTGGTGAACTCTCGTTGCTCTGTTCCAGCTCCTGCCAACCTAGCAGTTCCAAAGCATGGGTTTGCAAACTAAGGCCTGGGGGCTGGATCCGGCCCAATTGCCTTCTAAATCTGGCCCACGTATGGTCTGGGAATCAGCGTGTTTTTACATGAGTAGAACATGTCCTTTTTAAAAAAATGCATCTCTAGGTTATTTGTGGGGCCTGCCTGGTGTTTTTACACGAGTAGAATGTGTGCTTTTATTTAAAATGCATCTCTGGGTTATTTGTGGGGCATAGGAATTCGTTCATTTTTTTCTCTCCAAAATATAGTCTGGCCCCCCACACAGTCTGAGGGACAGCGGACCGGCCCCCTGCTGAAAAAGTTTGCTGACCCCTGTTCTAAAGCATACCAGCTTGACTAGATAAGTAGGTGCCACTGTGGTGGGAAGGTAAATGGCATTTCCATGTGCCCTGGCACTCGTCACAGTGTCCCGTTGTGCCAGAAGCTGTTTAGCCGTGCTGGCCACATGACCCAGAAAACTGTCTGTGGACAAACGCCGACTCCCTTGGCCTGAAAGCGAGATGAGCGCTGCAACCCCATAGTCACCTTTGAGTGGACTTAACCGTCCAGAGGTCCTTTGCCCTTTTTACCTTTACCTTACCTCTTCTAAGGTTCTTAACCATAGCTAATACCCACAATATTTCAGTAAGCAACCTGTGTAACTCAGTGCATTAAGAATACCATTAAATGTTTGTTTATATTAGCATTTAATTTTGGTCCCAATGAATGCCCCCAATGTGGTTCCCAATGATTCATCACATTCTTGATGCAATAAAAACTGGGAACAGCGGAACCATTATGAAAACAAAGTAAAAACAAAACCAGCAGTTAGCATATACAGTGGTACCTCGGGTTGCATATGCTTCAGGTTACATACACTTCAGGTTACAGACTCTACTAACCCAGAAATAGTACCTCGGGTTAAGAACTTTGCTTCAGGATGAGAACAGAAAGTGTGCAGCAGTGGCACAGCGGCAGTAGGAGGCCCCATTAGCTAAAGTGGTGCTTCAGGTTAATAACAGTTTCAAGTTAAGAACGGACCTCCGGAACGAATTAAATATGGAAGCAGAGGTACCACTGTAGTTAAATCAATTAAAAGCTTGGCAAAAATCATGACTTCCCAGCTCTAAACCAGCAATGAAACCACCTCCTTTGGTGGCAAAATACCATAGGAACCAACTTCCAGGGACCAAGGTCCCCCAATAAAATATTTAAGGGGGCCAGCTCCCCCACCTGATGGCCATTGTCATGCAAATAGTGCATGTGTGCCATGTCATGTGATTATGAAGGAAGCCCTGCCACCCCCCAAATTATTCAAATTGGCACCCCTGCAGAACATGGAGCAGGATCTCTAACCATGACCATAGCCAATCAGCAGGTTCAAGCAACCAGTACGATCAGAGCTTATATAATTCCACAATACAGGAAATATTTGGCCAATGTTACTTGTTGAAGGAATCATTTATTAAGAGATGCACAACTTCTTCCATGATAATTTCTTCCATAATAATAACGGACAACGCTTTCAACAACGGGATTTGTGTTTTTTGTTTTATTTTAATGCTTAATGTTGGGGAAATTGAAGATATAATTGGTCAAAACAATATTCATAGCTCTTGCAGATGTCAGATTAGAAAAGGGGTTCTCGAAAGGGTCAGCAGCTGCATTCTCTGGTGAGCAGCTCACATTGCTGTGACCCTCTGTTTGTCCCTCAGAGATGTTTAAATAATGAAGTGTGCAAGTCCTGCTATGAAAAATGTCTCAGCCCTGCCAATGATGGAACTTAGTATGCATAGCAGGCCATCCAGCTGCAACAGAAGACAAGTAAACCAAAACACGCAATTTATGTCAGCTCATTCCTTACATAAAGACCATTTCCCCGAGTTCCAAGCACCTGGCAGGACAGAACTCATTTTCACTTGTCCACATAGGTTCAGCACAAGTCCAGTGGAGTCAGAACTGAGTTGATTTCATTGTGGTTTGTTTCATAGGTCATCAACAATAATGCTCGTTTTTGCAATATTAAAACACAAAAGTGGCAAATATATGCAAAAAAAAAAAAAAATTACTTTCACTGAAACAAGACAAACCATAGTTTGCATTTATTTATTTTTTTAAAATAATCCCAATGTAATATGATATTACACTGCTCTGATTCAGTACTGGCCCAGCTCAAACATCTGGAGTGTTAGCAGAGTAGTTACATTGCTGCTAGGAAGCCAAATCATATGCAATACTGACTCTTTTCTTGAAATTAAAACAGTGTCCAAACACTTGTTAAAATATTCAAAAGGTGTTACTTGGAGAACATACAGTGGTACCTCGGGTTACATACGCTTCAGGTTACATACGCTTCAGGTTACATACGCTTCAGGTTACAGAGTCCGCTAACCCAGAAATAATGCTTCAGGTTAAGAACTTTGCTTCAGGATGAGAACAGAAATTGTGCTCCGGCGGTGCGGCAGCAGCAGGAGGCCCCATTAGCTAAAGTGGTTCTTCAAGTAAATAATAGTTTCAGGTTAAGTACGGAACTCCGGAATGAATTAAGTACTTAACCCGAGGTACTACTGTATAGCTAAAGAAGAATACATGGGTACCTTGGAAGCCAAACGCCAAAAAACCCAGAAGTAATTGCTTCCATTTTCGAACACACCTCGGAAGACAAATGGCTTCCTCTGCTTTCAATTTTCTCAATTGACTTAGAGACCACCCTTTGCGCCTCAGTTGTCCAACATTTCGTAAGTCAAACGGTCTTCCAGAACGGATTACGTTCAACAACCGAGGTACCACTTCAGATGCAATGTATTTATATTTACATGCTTATCAAAGCATGGGCTTGGTTGAAGATTACAGCTTCTTCCTTAAGCATTGAAAGAAACAGTAACTCTCTCTCTCCAGTACTTGCACTCAGCCTTTTGTACGTTAGGCAGCTAGGCCATGTAGTTCCTTCTGAGAGGTTTCCACTTTCTCCTTCCAGAAGACTTCTCCTTCCTGCTTCCTTGGGCAAGTATAAACTTCTGTACTTCTTTCTGCCACAGTGTACACACGCAACCTGCCACTTGGAGAAGGGTTGTGGCTCAGAGGCAGAACATCTGTTTTGCACACAGAAAGTCCCAGTTTCAATTCCTGTCATCTCCAGATACGACTGGGAGAGGCCCCTGCCACAACTCCTGAAGAGTTACTGTGAGTCGCTGTAGAGTTAGATGGGTCAGTGGTCTGACTCAGAATAAGGCATCTTTTAAAAAAAAAAATTATAAATTTTATTAGTATTTTCCACACAACAACACAAAAAATATTGAAAAATAACAATACACAAAACACAAAAACCGACATTCAAAACAACAAAAAAACCCAAATCCACATCTTACAAGTTAATAATATATACACTAAAAAGAAAAACAAACATTGACTTCCACCAATCCCACAGTACCTCCTTTACCTCTCATTGTGTCTTCCTGTTTTCCTGTTCTCCTTATCATCTCTGTCGTAGCATCCAGATATAAATCCCTCTTTCTTATCCTTTCACTTCACAAGGTTATTCCAGACTCAGCCAGATTTTTGTCCTCGAACCTCAGTGGTACCTCAGGTTAAGTACTTAATTCGTTCCGGAGGTCCGTTCTTAACCTGAAATTGTTCTTAACCTGAAGCACCACTTTAGCTAATGGGACCTCCTGCTGCTGCTGTGCCACCAGAGCACGATTTCTGTTCTCCTCCTGAAGCAAAGTTCTTAACCTGAGGTACTATTTCTGGGTTAGTGGAGTCTGTAACCTGAAGCGTATGTAACCTGAAGCGTATGTAACCTGAGGTACCACTGTATTCATTTAGACACTCCCATTTCTTTTTCACTTCACTTTTTGGTTTTTGTCTTATTATATCTGCCAATTTGGCTAATTCTAAATATTCTGAAAGCTTACATAACCACTCTCCCCTAGTGGGTAACTGATTTCCTTTCCAATACTTAGGCACCAGGATTCTTGCTGCAGACATCACATTTAGGAAAAATTTAGTTCTGTCTTTTGGAATATCGTCATTTAAAATTTCTAAAAGGAATGCCTCTGGCCTTTTACTATATGATATTCTTAGTAATTTCTTTATTTCCTCGTGGATCTTGCTCCAAAATTTCCCAATTGCGGGGCATGTCCACCACATATGGAAGAAGGTTCCTTTTTGTTTCTTACATATCCAGCACTTATTGTTGTATGTTTTATTCATTTTTGCCAGCCTTTCTGGTCAGATACCACCTGTGATGCATTTTCACGTGTTGTTTAGTCGTTTAGTCGTGTCCAACTCTTCGTGACCCCATGGACCAGAGCACGCCAGGCACTTCTGTCTTCCACATAGTTCTCTCTTATTAGGTAACATGCTGTAAATAAGGCATCTTATGTAACTATGCATCTCTCCCACCCACCCTGATTATGATATAATCGGTGGGTTCATGTTATTCCAAGCACTGGTACAGATACAATCACATGGGGATCACTAGTAGCGTTGTCCCCTGTCCTGTATAAAATAGGATTGTCCCGTATTTCAATGTAGAATGTTACGTCTTGTATTAATATAGTGTGGTCCTATACTTCAGGTCTCACCCCTCTCTCTCTCTCTCTCTCTCTCTCTCTCTGAGCTATTTTGTTACCTTCCATTGAATATTATGGCATCTCATGAAAATATATAAGTTTGAATAGATGCCACCTTATTACACCAGTGGCCAGTGGCAGAGTTTGCAGAAAGTAAGGGAGAAGGGAAGACCACTTATGAAGGATGTGATGGTGGAGAAACTCAAAGCATACAATTGTGGACTGGCTACCAGTCCCTGCTGACACTGCCCAGCCATTGTATGCCTACCCTGAGTGCCAGCGAATAAGACACTGGGCACATACCATATTTTTCGCCCCATAGGGCGCACCGGCCCATAGAGCGCACCTAGTTTTTTGGGGGGGGAAATAAAGGGGAAAAAATTATTTTCCCCCCAGCCCCCAGAACAGGCTGCTATCCGCAAGCCTAGGGAGCCCGGCAGGAAGTCGCGCCGGTCTCCCCAGGCTTGCGGAGAGCTGCGCGAAGCCTGAAGCCTGCAGGCAGCTCTCCGCAAGCCGTGGGAGAGCTGTGTGACTTTGCGCCAGGCTTCCACGGCTTGCGGATAGCTTCCTGAAGCCTGGAGAGCGAGAGGGGTCGGCGCGCACCAACCCCTCTTGCTCTCCAGGCTTCAGCGAAAGCCTGCATTCGCCCCATAGGACGCACACACATTTCCCCTTCATTTTTGGAGGGGGAAAAGTGCGTCCTATAGGGCGAAAAATACAGTATATGGTGCTGACTGAGACACCCACAGTCTCCACTGCTGCCCCCTAATGGCAATTGATAAGGTTGCTCCACAGCAATAGTAGCTTGGTGGTTGTTGGACAAGCACGCCACCAGTTTTTGCTGTTGCTTTGCTCCACGTATTTCCCAGAACAGACTGCACATGCAGTTATGCTAGAATATTTATCTTTTGGGGGATCTTTTGTTCAATCTATTCTGATGTCTCTGAATAATTGTGGTATTTTATTTTAAATTGGCTGTTGTGTTTGAGAGGTCTTCTGAGTGCCAAAATTTATTTTGTGCACACCTGCCCCTCTGTTTGTTTCTCCCTTGATAGGCTCCTAATGAGCACCTTGGATCAGTCATCATCACCTGCTTTCCCCTCAGGCGAGCCTGACCCCTGGCTTTTGGCTGAAGATCCAGCCTCCTTTCTCCTTTGCTTATTCCCTAATGTCCTTCCCTCAAATTATTATTATTATTTTGGCTGGAGACCATGACTTGCCTTCCCTTCTCCTTGGTTCTCTCTCTCTTCTCTCTTTCTCTCTCCCTTTCTCCCTCTCCCTCTCTCTGTCTCTCTGCTATGGAAGAGGCTTCCTTTCCTAACTGCCGAGCAAGCAGAAACGTGAACTCCTTGTAAACTTCCTGCTTCCCATTTTCCTTTATTTTTTAATAGGGGGGAAATCCTTGTCAGTTCCCCCCAGTTTATGCTCCATGTGTCTCATGTTGCATAAATAAAAATGTCAAGGGAAATATGGTTCAACTTTAGTCCCTACCTGCCCACAAACTGTCTCACCAGAGTGGTGCATGCTCTAGTTATCTCCCGCTTGGACTACTGCAATGCTCTCTACTTGGGGCTACCTTTGAAGGTGACCCGGAAGCTACAACTACAACTAATCCAGAATGCAGCAGCTAGACTGGTGACTGGGAGTGGCTGCCGAGACCATATAACGCCAGTCCTGAAAGACCTACATTGGCTCCCAGCACGTTTCCAAGCACAATTCAAAGTGTTGGTGCTGACCTTGAAAGCCCAGTACACCTGAAGGAGCGTCTCTGCCCCCATCGCTCAGCTCAGACACTAAGATCCAGCTCTGAGGGCCTTCTGGTGAGAAGTGAGGTTACAGGGAACCAGGCAGAGGGCCTTTTTGGTGGTGGCACCCGCCCTGTGGAACGCCATCTCATCAGATGTCAAGGAAATAAACAACTGTATGACATCTGAAGGTAGCCCAGTATTGGGAATTTTTTAATGTCTAATGTTTTACAACTTTTTATGTGTTATAAGCTGCCCAGAGTGGCTGGGGAAACCCAGACAGATGGGCAGGGTATAAACAATAAAATTATTGTTGTTATTATTATTATTAGATGAATGCAAGGCTGGAAACTACTGCTCTTTTGGGAGAAAATGTTGCATGCATACACACATACTCTCTCACACACGTACAACCTTTCCTGCAAAAACACCCACAGCAACAAAGAGTAAAAGCAGCCCTGGATACAGAATGCTTCCCAATGACCCGCTTATTGAGAATTCATCCAGATTTGTGTGCAGGGAGATTGACAATGTTGGTTATTTAAGGGATATTCATTCTGCAGCTCCCTCTTTGCATCATATGTTATGTTATGTTGTTATGTTATGTTATCACCAGGTTGGACACTGTTTTCCTTTTGGGTGAAGACATACGCAAAGTAGGTGTTGAGCAATCTCACCTTCTCTCTGTCACCCAATAGCATTTTCCAATCTTCTCCATACAGAGGTCTTTCAGCAGCACCCTGTGTTATGGTGCCAAAATTTGGTGTCCCCCTGCCTTTCATGCGCCAATCTAAATAATAGTTGTGGCATCCTCTCTACCACTCCCAAGGCTCTGTGCCCAGTGTAACCGAACTGGTTGCGCTCCCCTAAAACTGTCTCTGCTAGAAAGTCTAAAACAGGGGTCCCCAACCTGCAGCTATGGGCCAGAAGCAGCCCACAGAGGCCATTTAACTGGCCCACGAGCCACCCCCGAACCAAGCTGCCCGCTCGGCGAGTCCCCACGCACTGTGTTAAACCGGCGCAGCGTGGCACGGGGACTCTCTTCTGCGGCTCCGGAAATCGCTTCTGCACATGCCCAGATGCCAGAAATCACGTCTGTGCATGTCTGTGGTGCCAGAAATCGCTTCTGCGCATGCCCGGACACCTAAAATCACCAAAAATGTGCGCAGGAGCGTTTTCCAGCATCTGGGCATGCACAAAAGCAATTTCCGGCACCACGGACATGCGCAGACACAGTTTCCAGCATCGAGCCGCACCAGTCTGGCTCACGGAGGATCTCCGCAGGAGTGATCCGGCCCACACCCAATAAGCCTTGCCGACCCCTGGTCTAAAACCCTGGAGAAGCACTACTAGAGAGTGTAGGCAATACTGAGCTAGGATGACCAGTGGGTTGACTTGGCATCTATATATGTTTCCCATGGTAAATCATCAAAAAATACAAGCCTGACTAAAACATCCCATAGTTTCCCTAGTTTTAAGAACATAACTATAAACTAGCTACCCTGTGTTTAAAGTCTTTGCAACAGTTTTCTTCAGTATTGTTGCAAAAAAGAAGTCAAAGCATAGCCTAATAACTGAGCCCACAAATATAATTCAACGTGCTAGAGTATATTGTCCATATTGTACTATATTGTTTAAGTTTACCTTTCCTATCCCTTCAAAAATCTTATTTTAACATTTTCTGCCAGGAATCTGGAGAAGCCATTAACAAACATCTGTACTCCTTAGAGAGAGCACATACTGGTCTAAGCTGGATAGTCCTGCCTTGTAACCTCATTTCGAAATCTGGAGAGAACGTGGGACTAAGCATTTTACCGCA